ATCATCATCATCATCATCATCATCATCATCATCATCATCATCATCATCATCATAGTTTTATCACAGCACCTGTCCATCGATATTCCATAATACGTTATTTTTTTCAATAGACATCAAACGATTTTGTCAGTTTGTTAGTGTTTGAGCGCTTACTAAGCTGCTAGCACTGCATGCTTCCCGGGAAGCCGAGACTGTTTCGATGTGTACTAGGGTCTGCTGGGGCAATAAAAGTAGGTTGTAAAGCTCAGGGAGTTCTCTATTGAGCGGGGACATGCGTTGTAATACAAATTAAAGCTATTATTTCTTCATTTATTCTGATTATATTTCATCTCCAGCCAAATCAACAATCATCACACTCTATTGTTGCCCCATCATTCTTGTTCACCACCACCACCACCACCGAATAATATTGTTTAACTTCCACACGTCATAACTGTCACTAATTGTTTCACTATCACTCATGCTCACCAATATCACAGATTGTTTCATCACCAATATCCCAATATTTTTCCTGTTATCACTCGTATTCACCATTACCACAGGCACATTGTTTCCCCTCCACACATCACCACCACCATAAATATGTTCACTACAAGTATAATCACTCATATTCGCCATTACCACAAATTGTTTCACTATCACTCGTGTTCACCAGTATCAGAAATTGTTTCTCTATCACTCGTGTTCACCATTATCACAAATAGATTGCTTCACAACCACCATCATCATCATCATCATAAAACCAATACCTCACCAGTGCCATCCTTGTTCATCGCTATCACAAATCGTTTCACCTTCGTCTCTGGTCACCATGAACCTTAAGTTTTTTAAAACCCAAATAACTCCCCACCCTCTTTCAAAAGAAAGAAAAAAAATCCACATCTCTATTAATCCCCACCCCTACCTCATTAAAAAGACATATTTTCTTCTGTTTGCATATTATCTTTCTCCTCTGCCAGCCCTCTTTCCTCCCCTCTCTGTCTCCACTGTCAGTATGTTAATGTTTTAGCGCCTATAAATGGCTGCTTGCACTGCATGCTTCCCAGGAAATTGAGTTTGTTTTAGAATGCTCTCAGGTCAGCTGGTATAATAGTATAGCTTGTGAAGCGCATAGAGCTAGCTGTGGGGCGGGGGTTTGCGCTATACAAAAGCTATCTATTATTATTATTATTATTATTATTATTATTATTATTATTACTATTATTATTATTATTACTTGTGTCTGTGGTGTAGCAGTTTGGCACTTCGCCGTCGCACTCAGAAGACTCGAGTACGACTTCAGTGTGGAGAGAATCTTTAATATAGATTCCGTCTTTCTGCTGGAACGTTGTACCCCTTCCAGCCCAGGTTGATCCTGACAAGAAAGGTCGAACCCAGCCTCCTAAAAAATCTAAACAGTGCTGATGGAGGCGTAAAACTTCCACACTTGCGTCTTTCTCTCTCGTCTTCTTTCCTCTAACCACCATAAAACAATGTATTCCACTTGTGAAATAACCTATCCCAGTAGGTGCTTGGCGGGTGCTCTGGTGTGGTTTTATCCTTCTTTCCTATAAAACATCTTTTGTCCTGATCTTTCCTCCTTTTTTATGTTTGTTACTCTCTTGTAACACCCCTAATTTTCGGCACTTATATGACCTTATTGTGTTGCAAGTGCCGTAAAAGTCTTACTTAAACTAAACTAACCTATCCCTGTCATGTCATAGTAGTGCGTGGAAGTCATACAAATATGAAACTACAGAACCTACACGGTTTTTTTTTCCCTTCCCGTCTCAGGACCAGCCCCGGGAGATGAAGCGCATTGCAAAGTTCCTCGGGATTGAATTAACGGACGACCTGATTAAGTCCATCTGCGAGGCAACGGGTATCTCAACCATGAAGGTAGCCTATAACAAAGGATTCAACGTCAGAAAAGGTACGCTATAATTATTCTAATTATTGTAGCAATATATCGTCTATGCCCCCATTGACAAAATTCAGACCATTTAAGATGCGGGCTGCGTTGGCTTCGCCTTTCTGGTAGTGCTGGGCAGCTGGGTTCCCGGTTATTGAAAGCTTGGAATCGCAGGAATCGACTCCGAACCCAATTAGATCTACTTACTTTCCAATGATGGGATTTCTTCCTGTGATTACCTGGTAGCTCCGAACATCTTTATGATTTGGGATAACTTTTATTTCGGAACACAACGAAGCATCAATTTTTATTTTTCCTAAATAAATTCTTAAAAATAAAAAAAGAAGATTTTACTGATTAAAGTAACTGGTTGCGGCTGGTTTACGTAAAAAGGAGTAGGAACTTTTCTTTCGCAGCATTAGTCTTGAGAATCAGTTCCCGACTAGATTCTTTTCCCAGCTCTACTTTCTGGACCAACCTGTTCTGAGAGGAACACACAGTATTCCAGCAGACAGACGAAGGTACTCGATAATAAAACCTCCCTACACTGGAATCGAACTCAAGTATTCTTCGTGCGACGGTGAAGTGCTCTATCGCTACACCATGCAGACGCCGGGGAGTCCACTTTGTGGAAACACTTACAACCGTTTGACCAAAGATCGTGGAGTAGAAAATCTTTGGTTTGACTGCTTAAACTACCATCTGTTTATTCCACTCAAGTTGCTGTAACAGTTTTACTATTCATTTTAATCGAAACACATGTCTACCAGAAGTTTTAGTTTTATAATCATATTATTATAATATACACAAGACAAAATTCATTTCTCTTTAATGGTGCCAAGCGAACTATTCCATTGTGTTTTACGTAACAACGTGAAAATACTAGATCTATCTATTTGCTCTATGTACACGCAACGTTTCTCTAAGAAATGTTAATATATTGTTTATGAAAATCGGATCTTGACCTAAGATATAAGAGAAGAACACTAGTTTTGATGTCTGATGAATTGATTTGTGCCCACAAGATGTCCTGCAAGTTCCAAGAAATCCTAATGTGTTTCGTATCTCAAGTTCCAAGAGATTATAATATATGTGTTTCGTGTCTCCCACCCCTCCCCCCTTTTCCCTTCTCTCTTTTCTCTTTCTTGACCCC